ATACCTCTTCAACAAGCTGTCAAAAAGACAGATGGCCTCCATCTGTCTATTTTCATTTATTTAAGAAATATGTGAAAATATTCTGTTAACATGACCACTTGATATATAATGTTAAAAACAGAAAAAAATCTTACAATGTACCAAGTTGTACACACTGGAAATGCTGACTGCACTTAACTGTCATGCAAACGATGTTTTTCATCATATTTGCACAACATGAGATCAAATTTACTGTCCTCAAGAGAAGAATGTGTGGAAATCTGCTGTATCAGGGCATCTCTGTAGCTAAAAGACTGTTTCTGTACATAATAAATTGAGAAAATAAGCTGTTTTTTTATGCATATCTCAGGTCCACTTCCTCCGCCGCTGCCTCCTCGCCGCCTGAGAAAACCTCGACCCACTTCCCTTCCCAATATGCCTTTACTCTCCTCTCAACTTCCTGTCACTCCTCTCTCTCTCCCTCCTCCGGTTCCTCCCAGACGTAAGAGACCCTCAGTCAAACTCTTAAAGATTAAATCTGTCTGAAATGTAATTGTTTTTCCAACCGATTTCTTCTGCTTCTTTCAGTTGATTTGCTGGAAGAAGAAAATCGTTTTAAAGTCAACATCAATGTCATCTCACTTGGTCTTGGAAAACTGGCTGACATGAGCCAAGGTCAGGACACACACACACACACGCACACGCACACACACACACACACACAAATCAAAGTTTATCATTTTCCCATTAGTTTATCCTATGTCTGTTTTGCAGATGCAGGTCTGGAGACCTTCCAGAACCCGGTGATTTGTGGGAAATGTAGTGCTGCGCTGTCATGTCTCAGCTCAGTATGGAAGAAGGTAAATATTATTTCATGGCAATATAACCTGGTTTTTGTTTTATTTCTCCAGTTAAAGACCATCCTCCCTGTAAGAACTCACATTAGCACGTTAAATTGCTCCTCTGTTTTGCAGTTGTGGGTATGCGAGTTCTGTGGGTATGAAAACGGTGTAGACGAAAGTTTGGCCCAGGTGTGCATCGGTCAGCGTGCGGGTGTGCGCACTGACGACCTTTACCTGCCGAGAATGAGCGAAGACGACTACCAGAACCTGGAGGACACGATGGTTGTTTTCTGTGTGGACATTTCTGGCAGCATGACGGTCACAACAGAGGTGTGTGTAAAACAAAAACCTTAAACGAGATGCATTATGCAACCTAGCAACCTATGTTACCTAGCAACCCCAGTGGAGCCCAGCCTGTTACCTAGCAACCCCAGTGGAGCCCAGCCTGTTACCTAGCAACCCCAGTGAAACCCAGCCTGTTACCTAGCAACCTCAGTGAAGCCCAGCCTGTTACCTAGCAACCTCAGTGAAGCCCGGCATGTTTGGTCAGCTGGTTTTACTCTGTATATGCTGTACAATGTACAAGTGTTTTGTTGTTGACTAGACATCTATAAGCCACTTGCTCAAAAGAGACTAACATCTCTAAGAATGATTTTGTGCAAAAACTGTAATGAACAGTTTTTTTTATCGCCCGTGAACTATGTTCATGGAAGCAAAAAAAGTGCAAATTGTTTTTTGTTAGTAAACTAAGTGGGTTACTTCGGCTTCCATCTTTATGTTTCTGTGCAAATTTTGACATTTTCATGAACATTTATTTAGCTCTGCCATATTTTTGCCTAATTAGTTGGAATTTCCTATGGATTACAGTTTGATATAACTTCGGCACAGCCCCATGTTTGGGTGTAAAACCATCTCACACAGACACACAACCAAGTCAGGAGATAGTATAGAGGAGCGTTGTCGCCATAAAATTTCCAAATACACCAAAAAAGAAAGTCACTAGATTTATCACTAGTTGGTTTTTTGAAAAAAAAGTCACTAGAGGGGTCAGAAAAGTTCATAAAAATAACAACATGGATAAATTGACCTCACCACTGCTGACCGCTCTGCTAACCCCCATACTTGGCCACGCCCCTCAGGGTCAATTTTTTTTCAAAATTTGCCAAAGTTACACTTTCACAGAAAGGTTAGTTATACTTTACAGTCTACATACAGTCTACCTTTATGCTACGTCTTTATTTACTAGCTGAACCTCAACCAACTGAATTTAGGAGCGACTTGAGAGCAAACAGCTAAAAGATCTGCATGTTCAGCATCTCCAATAAAAAGAAATGTAAACGATCTGTAGAAATACTAAGAACACAAACCACAAGTGATAAAAATCTGGTGTTCCAGCTCTGATAACAGCAGACTAAACGGCAGTACGTGACACTGATGAGAAGCACTTAAAGCACAGATGTCACTCCCACAACAAAGATTCAGCTTTCACAACAGATATGATCTCTGCTTTCGGTTTCACGAACACGTCTCCATTAGATTCAATCAGAACGCTCTATTTGGCTGTTCTCTTCTGAAGTCTTCTTGTTTTGTTAGAAAAATGACTTCTGAAAGGGCATTGTAAGCATACCTCCATGTTTCATGCATTTGCAAGATGGTCGTTTTGTTGTTTCAAGTAAAAAGAGAAAGAGCTGCAAGTAGAAACACCTACACAAGTTTGACCCCATTAAACCACAAAAAGGTCACAGTCTTACGTACAATCACTTCTCTATGATTTCTCGTTAGGTGACTTCAGACAGCGGCCCAACGCTTCACATATCCAGACTAGAGGTGAGACATTAATTTGTTGTTGATTAAATTAAACCCTGTGTGAAATCTGTTGATTGTGGATTACTTGGCGATTTGTTGTTGTCCGACAGGGAATCCAGGATGCTCTTCAGAAGACGCTAACGTTCACGCTGCAGCAGACGCCGCACCGTAGGGTGGCCCTCGTCACCTTTAATGATGAGGTAGAACTGATGGGCCGGTCATGTTTGAGCCAGATCGTTCATATGAGTCGTCTTTTAGGATGCATTCACACCAATCCTGTTTAGTCCATTTCAGTCAAACTTTATCTAAAAAGTCCAGTTCATTTGAAGAGGTATGAATGCGTAATCAAACTCTGGTCTGCCTTCAAACCTCGGTCTCAGGTCAGTTGAAGTGAACTCTGGTTGGGGTTTGAATGCATATGTGAACACAATCAGGCCAGAGACTGCTCCAAAAGTAGGATGAAAACTACAACACAGGGCATTCTGGGTAAATAAAGCCAAAATAAACATGTGAGTCTAGCGCTACAGGGAAAAATGGCTTGTGTTTTTTTTTTTTTACCAGAGACGAAAGAGAAATCCTATAACTGCTAAAATCTGATGCTACTCCGTTTTCGTTTATATTTTGTGAAAAAGAAAGTTGCACTGGTCTGAAGCTTTTGTGTCGTTTCCTTCAGTGGTTCTTGGTGCAGCGCCCCCACTGGTGAGGAAGGGAACTGTTGTTTATTTTTGTTTGGATCGTTTGACAGTGTAGTGTGACAGTAGGAAATATAACAACATTGCAATTTTGGTCCCTAATCAAGCTAAGGATTAAAGTTATTGGTTGACCTTGGAGAGTCAGCTGCCCACCAGAAGCCGATGATTTGGGTTATCTAGAGGAAACTAATAGAGGTATAATTTCATATTAACTTTCTCTACATCTTGACATTTAATTTCTGTATTTCAGATATTTTCCTGCTTTTTCTTTAATAATTGGATTTCTATTGGATGCCTCCGTCATATAACTAGGTCCTCATTATTATCGAACAGTTGTGTGAACAGCTTTTGCAATAAGCCGTTGTTGACTCAGAATGTGTGGTCAATAAGGTCCAAAGTCAAATAAAACCTTTGAAAATGAAGCATTTAAAGATGAAATGTGATTTTGTTTGGTTAAGTTTTCTGCTGCCTGTCCTTCAGGTTGTTATCTACGGGGATGGCAGTCGGACTCCGCTCACCATCAAGGACTGGGCGCTGGTTGACTACGAACACATCTGGAAACAGGCTTTGGGCTACAGCGTCCCTCACTGCATCGCTGAGACATACCAACATCTCACCCAGAGAGTCAAAGAGTAAGAAATTCAGTCAAAAAAGTAAACAGATACAACTTATTGTCTTCTAAAGTTAAATGGTGTACAAACACAGAAACACTACCGGTGTTTTATATTTCCGTATCTTTCAGGTTAAGGGAAAATGGAGCAACAGCTCTCGGTCCGGCAGCGTTAGCTGCAGTAGCTTTAGCATCAAAATACCCCGGCTCCAAGGTGAGTGAGGAATAACTCCAGCCAACATCGACATTTCTAAAAACTGAGAATTCCCTGAAAATCAGCCAAACACATAAAATACTAAACCTCCCAGCAGGGGGCAATCAGAAACTCTTTTTACATATCACTTAAAATTTACTCTTTAAAAATTTACATTATGTTATAATGTTATCCCACATCAAAAACATACATGGAGTGTTGCCTTGATTTTTTGATATATGTTTGAGAAATCCTTTAATCTCCATGGAAACCATTCAGCTGTGCTAAACGCCTGGGTGGACACAGCTCCTGTTATATGAGCTACTTCTCAGTGAAACGCTGATAAAAACGTCACCAAAGGGTTAATAATGGAGCAATGTTGTGGTGACTTCCTGAAGGCAAAGTTTCAGAAAGAGGAGGAGTTTCTTAAAGAGACAGAGGCCCAATTTCAAGTGAAATTTCATTTTTGATATACATAGTATTTTTATAATGCCTGAACATAACATAGCTACCTCTTTATTGGTATAAAATGGCACTATGAGCCTGGAAAATACATAATACTGCCCCTTTAAAACAAAACTTACATTAGCCAGATCTTATGCTAAAAATTAAGGTTCTGCTGTGTAATTTTATCTGAGAAGTTGTGTGTTTAATTCAGTTGCTTTGCAGCCCTGAGCAGTTGTGTGACGGCTTTATTTCAACGTGTGTTGCAGGTCATTTTGTGCACTGATGGCAGAGCCAACATCGGACTCGGTGACATGGAGCAAGCTCAGTCCTCTTATGCAGAGGCTCTGTATTTCTACAGAGAGCTGGCTCTGCAGGCAGTAGAGAAAGGGTCAGGAAACAAACACACACACTAACCTCCCCCATTAACTCCATGCTTGAATGTTTTTGTTGAATTCTTAAGGATAAATAAACAATTTCTTGTTTTTCCAGAGTCATAATCTCAGTAATGTCCTTTAAAGGGACAGACTGCTGCCTGGCTGGCATTGGGAGAATGGCTGATGTGACCGGAGGAAGGGTGAGACAAAATAAAACTCATTTAACTTTTTATTTAACATTTATTAAAATGTCTAAAGAAGAACAAAGTAGCCCTGCTTTACATTTAAACCACAGGAAGCTGGTCACAAGCAGTAGTTAGGCAGCTTATTTACTTAGCATGAATATTTAATTTAATCGAGTCCCACCACTGATCACAACTCATCCAGAGACATAAAACCTGCACTGCCATTGAGAAGGCTTCATAAAAATACATTTTAAACTCTTAAATGTTTTGCACCCCTCAGGTGAACATTGTTAGCATCGGCACCATGGCGTCAGAGATCCAGTCCATTTCTGAAGACAACGTGTTGGCAACAAGTGTCACTGCAACCCTGCTTGCTCCTCATGGAGTGTGAGTGGAGACTGAAATCAAACACACACAAAAAACACTCAAAAATAAAATTTCAAGAGGGAATCTGAATCTAAATTATCAAGCTCAACTTGGTATTGATATTATCAATATTTTGGACCTCTAATTCTTGATAGTTGGTCAAAATGTTATGGCTGATTGGTGTATTGATATATGAAATAGTTCTGACAACTGAACCATTTTTCTCCCTGTAGATATTTCCCATATGAGGAGGAGAACAATCACAAACTGGTGAGAGAGATCGGAAACGTAACAAAGGGACTGGAGATCACCTTCCAGTTTGCTGTGAAACCAGATTGCATGGACTGTGAGTTAGTCAGGAATAAAAGAACTGTTAGCGCAGAAACAAAAAGAATATCTCCAAGTTGTGTTTTGCTAAGGGATGCTGTTTGGTTACCAGATTGTCTCCAGAGGAACACGCTTCCATTCCAGCTGCAGCTCAGCTTCAAGACCAGAGACCAGCAGAAAGTCACCCGCATCATCACCGAACAACGGCCAGTGGCCACCAGCAGGTTAAAAACAAAACCACAGCTTATTCCCAGTATCACCCAATACACCAAACTGGTTTGTGTTTTAGATTCTTTGATACTGACTTCAATTGGTCGGTTTGGTCTAAAGTCAGATTCTCCTGGGAAGACTCAACACGGCGGTGCTGGCCGTCCACTGCGCTCAGCTCTGCGCTGGTTTAACCATGGAGGGCCGCGTGACTGAAGCACAGAGGCAGCTGGCAGCTCAACAAGACCTGCTCCATCACATCAGGTACTACCAACCCTGCCAGACAGGAAGCAGTGAGGAAACTACTTCCTCTCTGAGATCTGAGTAGCGACACTTTCATGGAATCTTGCTGAGAGTTTTCACATCAATCCATCAAATTTTGAATTTTTCCAAGTGCTGTCATTACACATCTCACTACATGTTTACCAGACATCTGATAGGCTGGTAGACTCTGTTTGATTAGGGACCAAAGTTACAACATTTGTTACGTTTCCAGCGGCTATTACTATGATTGCAACTTATTATTTTTATCAGTTCCAACCATGTTCAGGACTGAAGAAGCCTTTTGAATTTGAGGTGAAATGCCTTCAAGAAAAAAGAGAAGAAGAAGATGAAGAAGAAGAAGAAGAAAAAGACGACTTTGAATCCCATCAGAATGCTTGTTGACTTGTGTGGGAATAAATCCATTCATTTTAAAATGCTAAAGTTAGATTAGAAAAATTTGGTTAATTTTAATCGCTTGGTTTAAGCGTGTTTTTTAATGTGTATTGATTATTTTCTGTCTCCGTCTCAACTGCAGTAAGCTGAGGCCAATCCAAAAGGAAGAGAGTATCTATGGCAACTGGATGGAAACCATGACGACAATTTGTGGCAACATGGCAGCAGACTCTCAGGTGCCTTTCATTGACTAAACTTTTAGTTTTAGCCATAAAAAAAAAGTTAAACTGTGAAGAGAAAACATGCCAAACATGTTAAGTTTGACTGATTAAGATATTAAATGCTGTGAAATTTAGTGGCGCCTGATAGCATGTAGATTAAAAGATTATATGAAAACTGTTAATTCTTTGCAACAAAAAGCAAATGTTTTACAATCTTGCAGTTTAAATATCCCATAAATGCACATTTGTTCCCTTATTTTGGAGCAGTCTCTGTCGGACGAAGCAGCTGAGGTGGTGTACCAGATGAAGAAAGCCAGAAGCATCACGGCGCTCCCGTCCAGAAAAAGACTTTAGGAAGGAAAAAGGTCATGGAAGCAGTGTAAAAAAAAAAAAAAAAAAAGCTGATTCTACAGAGAGAAATATACAATGTGAATTAATGAACGGCTAGTGTTAGTTATCTATGTTGTACCTGTGCAAAAGCTGCAATTCTAACATACAGCCAAAACTAATTTGGCATTTTATTTTCATAGTTTTATATTGAAGTTAAAGAATGTCATTTTAAGATAATAAATCTGGGTTGAATGCAGTCCAAAATGGGTCATGCTCTCTGAATAAATCAGAGCAGAGCCATTAAACCAAGTGTTATATTTCTGTTTTATAGAAAGGTCATATATAATTTCTCCGTGTTTCACGTAAAATAAAGACTTTTATGTTTTATTGCAAAATAAAATCATGTCTCCTTCAATTTGTTCTCAATTTTCACACTTAATTCAGATTACCTGACTATTCTGCTCAATTAAGCTTCTCTAGAATGAGTGGAAATATTTTTTTAATGGTGTTGAAAGTAGAGATTAATAAAAACTGAGTTTGTGGTGTCATATATGTGGGTTGTACAAAGAATAATCAAAATATTGCAATCTCTGCACACGCCCACTCAGGCGTTTGTTGCTAGAAACCACAAAAACAAAGCAGGTTTTAATCAGTTATTTTTCATCCACATCTTCCCACGTTGTTCTCACTCTGTTTCTGTTAAGCTTCAAATGTAAGCAGAAGAGTAAACGGCGTCAAAAACATCCCAACTAGAATTATTTAGAAAGAAAATATTGATGAAGACTAGCAAAGCAAGGCCCTGTGGTAAAGATATGCTATGTACCCATTACTTTGAGGAAGAAACATTCAGCTACCTTGACTCTGAGTAGCTCCAGTCTCACTAACCGTTAGCTTGACTGAGTAACTGTCAACATCTTTGAGTGGGTGTTAGCTTGAATCTTAGTAGTTGTGAGCTTAAATTTCTAGATTCAAGCTGCTTATAAGTAATTGTTAGCTTGAATCTAAGTTCAAGCTAACTCAGATTGAACTTAACTGTTAGCTACTAAGCTTGAAATCTAAATAGCTGCTAGCTTGAATCGAGTAGCTTTTATTATGGACATAATTAAGAATGTTAAAGGTCTCAACCTTTAACATTCTTAATTGTGTCCATTTTTTCAGACTAAAATGATATTTAGTAACATCTTAATTGTCTAGTTTTTCCTAATGTATTGCTTTTTCACACTTTATTCTTCAGCAACAACCATACATGCTTCAGACACTGACTTATTACACATATAAGAAATAAAACACAGATTAATAAAAGCACTTGGTAACGTGTCAATTCAACAAGGTTTGGTTTGAATTTGGATTTTCTTTATTGTCTAAAACCCACAATAAATAACTGTGATAAAGCTTATTGTATACTAAAGGAAGGCTATGAAGTTTGATTAGTAGAAAGGCAATGTCTATTCATCAACACTGAGCTTTATTAGATAGAACAATCTACAAAAAATATATAAAGCTAAAGTTGGGGAATTTTAATAATTATGTTCTAATGCTTTCAAACAGATTATTTTAAAAACATTAACACTGCTTAGAAAAATGTACAGCTCAATTCAACTCAGTTTAATTTTTTTAAACTGTTTTGCAGTTAAAAACTCTTCTACTTTATTCCCTCTGAACTCACTTTGGTCTGTTAATATAGGCATATTAAGCATTAGGTGAAATTAATCAGATATGCCATAGATACAGAAGAAAAATCTGACATCAGTTTTTTTTTACTGCCAACAAGTGGCGGGAAAATGAACTGCAGTTCCTGTTGGGGTTTGCTGATTCATTTAACTCATTGCTTAAATTGTCATAATGATGCAGCGTTAGCAGGCGGAGTGATCAGACCGGTTCTGGTTGAAAACAGCCGGTCTACCAGGACACAGACTCACTTATCAGCAACCTTAACGGCTGATCTAAAGATAATCACATATTTTTACAGTGGCGGAAATTTACCCCAGGTCCATTTTTTCTTAATGAGTCACTGCAAAACAATGAACTTGATTCTGCTACACTCAGGTTCGTGAGGTTCGTTGTCTGGACTCTGCTGTTTTATCTCACGCTGTTTCCAAGTCTGCTTCTCTGGTAGAAATTAAAACTCTTCACTTCACCTCTGATCTGCCTTCTTTTGGGTCCAACAAAACACCAACCATGACATGTTTTTTGTCAGTTAAATTAAAAATACATAACCTATTTTACTGCAAACCATTTATTTTAATTACACATCATTAAACTAAAGCTGGGGTTTTAAAGTAACAATAAAGTCTGAGTTAGGATTTATGGACTCATCACTCATTGCAGTCCTGCAGGTTTATCTTGTTTAGAAAAAATAATAAGAAACAAAAACATCATACAGTGTCCTAGATTTTTCAGCTGATGTTTTCTCTGTCTAGATTTTATGTTTATAGTCAGAAATAAAAAATGTGGATATGGGTCAACTTGGCTTCAAAAAAATCCTGCATTATTTAGTCATGCTTACTAAATATGTGCACTCAAGTCTGCTTTGAGTGAAACTCACTGGATGTTTATGGTTCAATTTAAATTAAAAACAGAAAAAAAATATTAATAAAAGAGGAATATCTTGTGTTTTAGATAACATTTTTTAATTTTCTTTTTTTTAACCTTTCAAAATGTAAATAAAAATTTTCATCTGGATGAACAAAGTCTATGCTATTTTTGTACTACAGTTTAGGGCCACATGCAATCATTCCTGTCCCTGCAAATGGCCCCTGAACCCTACGTTGGACCTCCTGTTCTATAACATTATTAATTGCTCCCCTTTGTTTAAACTGCCTTCCAAAGTTTTCAAACCCCTTGAGGGTTTTTGCATTTTGGCACTATTCAACCACAAACTTCATTATCACATCGCTCCAAACACACCAATCAGCAGCAAAACATGGCAGTGGCAGTGTCATGCTCTGGGGGTGCCATTATTCATCAGGAAAGGGAAACTGATCAGAGGTTTTTGTAAGATAGAAGACGCTAACTACCGAACAATCCTGGAAGAGGATAAACTTTCCAGCAGGACAAAAGTAAACATACACCCAGACATATATCCAACTGAGAATCTGTGACAAGAGTTGAGAAGTAAAGTTCAAATATATCCTTCAGACAATCTGACTGGACTAGAGATATATTACAAAAAACTCCAAAGAGTGGAAAACTGTTACATGGAAATCCTGAGCAGAAACTAATCAGAAACAGAATCAGGAAAACATTAGTACAGCTTTTCTGAGACGTGCCGTGATGCATGAAGATGTCACGTCATCACCTAAAAGCAGTGTCAACTGTGGGAAACATTACAAATCCGCGTGCCCTTAGACAAACAACTAAGACAAACAATGAGACAAAGAGTAGTGATGAGCACAAGATGACATCTGTAGGAGAGGTTTTCTAAAGATGGTGATCTCTCAGAGCCTGGCACAAACCGATCAAAACATGAAAATCCTAGTTTTTATTAAAACACTGAGCTTTAGACAGTAACTTTGGTTTAATCAGTAACTTTGGTTTAATTAAACATCAGTCAACTCCAGAGCTTCAGATGTGAAACTAAACAGCCTAGTGTAGTCGAATAAAATCTGAACGACCCGCAGTTGGACCATATGGAGGTCGCCATTTTGTCACCTGCGCAATTAAAACTGAAACACAAGATGTCAAAGTTGTCCCACAAAACATCTGGATTTAGGCAAGCTACCTCAAAGTTTTCATACGGCGTTATAAGACATGACAATCAAACAAACAAAAGTTACCGGTTTGTTATCTATTGTTTACTATGCTAACAGAAGCTAACACTATTAGCACGAGCTAGGCGATATTAAATCAACAAAAGTGACAATGCAGCATCTTTAAATCTTTGTAAGACACTTTTCCAATGTATTTGAGAAAATATTTTGATCGCGATGCTTACCGTTAACAGCTTGATTTGGAAACCGGAGCTTTTCGCAGCAAACAAACGCCTTTCCGGTTGGCATTTCCAAGAAGCAGCAGCAGCAGATGTGGGTTTCCCATCTTAAGGCACTGGCAAGCTTCACAGAAACGAAGAGAGGATGAATGGAGAAAAGCACCAGAACATTCTTGATAAGAATCTAAGAATGAAGCAGGTGTGAATTTCTAAGCAAGACGACAGAGTAAAAGAAACTCTTAATTACTTTCAGAGAAAGAATATCAAACTGCTGGAATGGTTGTCTGATTTGTTTACCAAGAATCTTCAATATTTGAAGACAGTTAGAGTGAAAGAATGGGTCAAAATCACACTTGACCAACACATGTACTTCATTCAAGAGGCATCTTGAAATTGTCAATGGCAAAAATGCTTTTTCACCAAGAATTCAATACATTTTTGATATTGTGGCCAGTTTGTAGTCTCTGGGTTATCCCATGTTTTTAGCAATAACTTAATTTCTGAACTAAAATGGCTTCCATTTTCTAGAAGTTGTATTTTAATCTTTACTTAGTCTATTGTGTTTTCAGATTATACCTGTAGCAGCCTGTAATCTCTTAAAATTAGAAACAGGACTGGATTTACAAGGATGTGGGCCCCAGGGCTGTTCTATCCTCTAAAGAACCAATATTTCGCTAATGCAAATGATGGTACATTAATAGGTAGTTCTATACATGAACTGTATGAACTGATAACTGGTAAAATCTGTGGAAATGGGGGCCCTGAGCTACTGCCCATGTAAGCGCTCAGGTTAAAAATAATGAGAGCGTTCATGTTCAAGAGTGACAAAATGCTAATGTTTATCTGTTTTTTTTAAACTATATATATATATTAAGTTTTTGCATATATAAAACATAGAAAACATACATTCAAAAACCCACAATAAACCCTCGGGGTATAAAATAAAACAAATCAAGATTGAACTAAAAAGGAAAAACAAAAAAATAAAAATAACAGCATTGGTAATAAGGAAAACCCCCACTCAAATAAAGGAATAAAAAGTACACTTGCCTGTAAGTTAGTACAAGTATAAGAACACAGATAAATAAAATAAAGTTTCAATCTTCCGGCTCTTGTGCCTAGATAAAGTATCACTCTCTTGTTAATAAATACCAGTTATATGTATTAATATTAATATTCGTAGGCGCTGTTCTTTTATTTTCTTCAACACTATTCATTCGTTTCAGCTTGGTTGCTTTCAAAAGTTTCATGACAATGTCCCATATTTCTTTAAATTCACTGGTGTTCATTTCTCCAAAGTAAAACAGGAGGCCATTTCACATTGCAGTCTTAGGACTGTCCATACTTCTCCATTTCAAGCTAATCTCCATCTTAATGAGCAACTCCAACTATCTATCATAGTGCTGATGTAATGATGTTTGTCAAGTCTTTGTTTATCCTCAGTTCAAGGAAATCCTTTATCCGTAAGAAATGCAGCTGAACATCTCATCAAACGCAGCTTCAGGATTGGATCTGCTGACTTTTGACCTACTCTGCAGCATATCTGAGTGTGAGTGTGTTCCTTTTAACTTAACCAGTCCTGCCACTTTTACCTGGTAAAGGGAGAGACGGGTGAGTGGGAGTGGCTCTGGAAAGAAAAACCTCCGCCCTCTATCAGGTATACCCACACGCAAGATTTTAGCCGGTTTAAATCCCAAACACGTTAAAACCGCTGACAGAGCGAGACAGTTCGGGCCTCAAGCATCTCCGGAGGATTTTGGACGTACAGCTTAAGGTATCTGCTTGTTATTCTGAAGTAGGTCAAAGTCATATGCTTACACAGCATAGAAGTAATCTGTCACATTGTGTTATTTAGTGGAGATTAGAAATGTATTTTTAAAAGAAGAAGTTTTGTATTTTTAATGCAAAACTAACACATAAGTAACTAAAGAAATATTTCGGAGCTGAGAGTCAATCATTTCTTAATATTGATGAAAAAGTACTTGTTCCACTGGCAGATTATTTTACCGATAACATGGAAAAATGTCTTTATCTGTCAATTGAACTAGAACTTTTTTATCAATATTATGGAATCACTGACTTAAAACAAGCCTGAAAATTTACTTGTAAGTTAGTTTTGTATGTTTTATTTCAAGTGTGTAAAAATATTTGCATTAGAGACTAGACCAGGATTCCTTGGTAAGATTTTGTGTGTTTGCAGTGTAAAATGTTAGTTATCTGTACGCCCAGTTTGTGTTCAGCTCTGTTTGTCTGTATTACGGTTTATGAAAGGCTAATCTTCTCTGATGTGACTACATGACTCTTTAGGGAAAGTTGTGACATTTACTGAGTTTTATTTTGAAACATGCTTTAGCGTCATAATTTCCTGACCTTTTTCAAAGTGGTTGTAGTTACACAGTGACTGAGATCGAAAGTTAATATTTGATTTAGAGAAAATGAGGAAAAACGTGTTGTTATATTTGAACTTGATTCATTTTCAGTTTTTTAAACTCACTGAAAAAAGAGAATGGAGCTCCAAATTTTAAAAAAGAGTTAATTTGTTAGTTTGTCAAACTTAAATCATTTTTATCTGTTTAACATGACAACTTAATAAACTTTATATTCTTACCTGAATAAACATAATGTAATTACTTTTAACAAATCAACACATTTTTAAAAGTTGTCCTGAACTGAAAAGCTTTATTTTTTCAGTTCAGGAGATTTGCATTAAACATAGTAACTACATTTGTACTTAACCAGTTACCTTATTTTGAAGTTAGATTGTCTATCTTCTGTTTTTATGTCTGCAAAAACATTTTACTTTAATTAAAATCCATATTTGTGTCACACTAATGTTTCTCTATCAAAAGAACTGAAATCCCCAAACCTTTAAAAGTAATTTCATTTTACAAAACTACTTACTAAAATATAACCAAGTCAAGCTGACTCTAAAGTGGTGTTGCCTCCAAATAAAACAGATTTTAATCCAGTGAAACATGTCAAGTCCAACCCATGAAGGCGCGACTTCTCTATTTACTGGACTTGAAGGATTTGCTGTAAATCTTTTTAAGCTAAATGCCATCCCACACCTTCAGTGGTGTAGTGGAGTCCATGTCTTGAGAAGGCTAGTGGTCATAATGTTATGCCTGATCTGTCTACATGCCTTGAAAATACCTTTATGTCCTTTCAGTCAGGTGAAGTAGTTCGATCAGGTCTTCCCCTGTTTGAATTACCTTTATTAGTTGTGGTATTTATCTCCTGAACACCATCAGGGCCAAACACATATGTATCACTCTCAAAGAATGTACTTCCATCAGATGCTCAGATATAAAAGTTTAAAACTGCACCTACAGGCCAAAGAACATGTCCTCTCATTTTTGGACGTCCTCCACTGAAATTAACATTTTGTACTGTCCTTTACGGTCTGAGCGGAGACAGGAAGTCAGATTTCTTCTGATAGAGACTTTGCCAAATCTGATGAGCTTGTCCAATTGTTTCAAAAAACATACACAACATGGAAGGGTGCTGTCTTTATCATTACTGATGTTATTACTAAAGTCTGAGGTACAACGAAGCCCCATAAGAACTGTCCTTCTTATGGTTTTGGGTAGCTCATTGAGCTTGACAAGCTTTGAACCAATCTCTTAATTCCTACTGGTAATAGAGACATGGGATTACCTCAAATAATTAGAAATGTATGTATTCTTTTCACAATAATACTACTTTTTTAATCACCTTCCTTAGCAAAGGAAGACCATGCTGTACAAGTAAAGAGAAGTTTTATTGGACATAATCAAATATCGAACACTGGAAGGAGGGACGTTTAAGGTTGGCTTTGAAAGTCAGTAAAGATTTGGCATTTAAATATGAGATCTTTAGTAAGGAAGGAACATCGTCTGTCCAAAACGGAAACCTGGACTCATTAGCCGGTAACTGTCAAGAGATCTGTGTCAATGCGTATGTAGGGGAAAGGTCAAACAAGACTTTAGGGATAACACCAAGATTTTTCTTACAGAATTGCTTCAATAATTCAGCATATGAAAAATATTTTGTAAGAATGTGTTTTATATTGTTTAGCTTTTCAATTATGTTCAAAACCCTATGTGTGCTTCCTCCCTTTCTTTCTCCAAAAAGCGGTTATACATTTTACCCCCAAAATTTATAACTAGCTTATATATTATAAAATCCCTGTGGTATTGTATATAATGGAAAAATATTGGCAGGTTGCAGTATTCATACCTTAAATATCTGGAACCTGTATATATACAGTATTTGAACTTAATGTACGTGAAAATGCAGGAGAGAATCTAACCTCACTTCATTCCTGAAGGTTTTTTGAACATCCTAATCTGATCTGAGATAAATGTTTGGAACAAAACTCCAGTATGCCATGCTTTACTATATTTAGATTTTTCTTCTATTAACCCTTAATTTTCCCTAATCAGATTTTTAGGGATTAGGAATTTTCATAGACATACAATGTCCTGCCTTATGCATCTGTGTCAATGTAGGGGAAAGGTCATTCAAGACTTTAGGGTTAACATTAAGATGTTTCTTACATAATTGTTTCATGTTGACTTCAAAACTCCAAAGTGGTTCACAATACATTTAGCCATTCATTCAAACATTCACATGGTGATGGTGGTAAGCTACACTGTAGCCACAGCTGGCTTTTGGGAGTTGGACTTTCTGACCACCACCAGCAGACAAGATGGTTGAAGTGTCCTAAGGTCACAACGACTGACCTTCTGCTTTCTAGGGAGATACTGTCTAATTCATGCCTGTCCTTTAGTTTTGTTTCAGGATGTCTTTAAATGGCAGTTTTTTGACCGAGGAGCAGTTCACATGCTCTATATGCCTGGATGTGTTCACCAATCCTTCATCCATACCATGTGGCCACACCTTCTGCATGGCCTGCATCACCAGATACTGGGATGGATCTCAGGTGAGAGACTGTTGAAGCTTCCTTCAGTCGACTTTTATTCCTTATTTTAAGCATGTTTTTGTTCTTTAAATGTTCTTGTCAAAGACAGAGCTATGCAACATTTTTCTTTCTATTGTGTCATGCTAACTTAAATAAAGCACTAAAACGACCCCTTATTACCAGTGAAAAAAATAAAATGTTAGTCAGCAGTTAAAAATGAATTAATTTTTGTAATTACAAGGTTCCTTCTGCAGAATTCTGAATGAAACAAGGGTCAAGATTTAGGAAAGTACAATACAGTCAAATGTAAAGATGTTTGGATCCAGAGCTCCTGAGCAAGGAGCAGGCCTTCTCGCTGCCAGAGAGAGAATGACAGTCACGCACTTCGTCCACCTTGATGTCGCAGTCATGAACAATGGGTGGAAGAGACACTGAGGTTGTCCTAGTCGTAGGGTCATAAGTTCCCCATGTCATTACAGAATTTCATTCCTGAAACTCCTCTTCCTGTAGCTGGAACCAAAGTGGGTTAAGACAGTGCCTTGTTGTCCCTTGTTACTTATACCAGCTTCCTACTGTCAGTCCTTCTTGACTGGAGGTACAACAGTCACAACGGCTATATTTCAACTGTATGGTCATTCTTTCATCTTCATTACCTTTTCGTTTGTCTACTGTCATTTCTGATTTGATCTCTTTCTCCTGGACATCCCTTCACCTGTTCCATCATCCTCTTCCAGGTTTGCCAGTGTCCTTTATGTAAGAAGACCTTTCAGAAGCGACCGGACATCCAGATCAACAGGACTCTGCGAGAGATAACTGATCAGTTCAAATCTATGAAAGGTGGAGGGTCAGTGAAGGACAAGAAGGGAAAAATGATGGGACACAAAAATCACAACTTTATGGCAGAACTAAAAATGAAGCTGCCAAAACCTCTGGCCAAAGACGTTGCAGCTCTGACCGGCACAACTCAATCCCAGGGTAAGTAATCCACAGGGTTTGGATCGAATCAACCAGGCTACGCAAAACGTAATCACATGTTGACGATATGCACGGCTGTAATAAACAAGATGTAGAGGTTGCAATCGAGCATAGACCACACATCTTATAAAAATGGAGAGGGTTCCCCACTCAGAACTGGAGGTTTGGACTAGGACATTTTTCAAAGTTTCATGCCTCTGGTAAGGCACAGATTAAACAGTGGATGGGAACATTCACTACGTCAGAACTTATTTGGCAAATGCATTTCCAAATCCTTTTAGCGCATGAACTACTTTTCAGAAAAAACTAAAAAATTGTAAAACCTGTTTTTGCAAAACTGATGAAGTTATTTCGAATCTTAACATCTCCATCAACCTTTTCTTATGTGATATTTAAAAAAAGAAAACGCATTGAAAAGTTTGACAGAAATATGGCAAGTGATTGAGAAGCTGCGGTTTGTTATGTACTTACTATAAATGCGACTCTCATGGTGGCAGTATGTTGCAGCTCTGTTACGTCAGTTCTGATTTGTTCTTATTAACATTTGTTCATCATTTCTTTGGTTGAGGCCTTGGTTTTTTTCCGTTGATTTCCCCTCTGGTTTTGGACGCCGTGCAGGTGCAAAAATTTGTCCTCTTACTTTGTTACATTTAGACTGTTGCCATGGTGCGTAACCATGGCAACAAGTCTTTTTTTTTCCCTCTCTAATAATCTCAAAAGCTCAAATAATACTTGACTTGTGACTCCGAGATGATACGAGTCACAACATTTGTTTTTCCTTTGGAATTAATGAACTAAAAGAAATGAACAGAGACGATGATCTAAATCACATCAAGTTAAAAATCCTGGGGTGAAAAAATGTTTAGGATCAGATCTATGAGGAAAAACAAGAGAACAGCAACGTGAAGATTTCTCCTTTATACAATTAGCTTGTTGTTCTGGTTGGTTTCATAACCAGCACACCTGTGAGGGCTGCCAGATTCAGGTCATTTCACATTATGCAGGAGATATATGACTTTCCTGTCAGGGTTATGTAATCCAGCGATGATGGAGCGATGTAGGAATGTTGAAGTACCGTCCAAAAGTTGAAATGTTGATTAAATGTTAGATTCTGTTTTCTTAAATAATAAAAATATATTACATATTAAAAAGGACCTAACATCATTTTTGTGTTTTTGTTTTTGGCAGCGCATTCTTTCCCAGGCCTGTCCACGTCAACTTTGCACCCGACTGGCACAACCACGATGGCTTTGTCGGTACCGAACCACCGCGGGTCTTCCAGTCTGAACCACAGCCCCGAGAATCAACATCTTAACCATCATCACTTCCCTCATATGATGTCCTACTCCAACAGCCGCAGGAGGTTCACTCTGAGTGGAGCGGCCAGTAGCGAGAACGTCCCTCTGTGCGAAATCCATAACAGAGGAATACTGGTAAAACAATCAGCTAACTTTGCATTTCATCCACATCTTCTCAGTATTATTTTACATACTAACTGTTTGTATTTCACTCGGGTCCCGAAGCCTTAGAAATAACTTTTTAGAAACCATTTCCAGGCTTTAGCTCCAGAAAAACGTGAAACATTTCCAACAATCCAATTCTGATCTTTTCACCCTCCCAAAAAATCAGATTTGTTCCACTTCTATATACAGAAGAAAAAAATCTGATTCATATCTGAATGGATGATCATAATTATGAATGAAAAACAACAAAACAAAAAAACAAGAAATCTGTAATGGAGTGAATCCATTTTAACAGCAACACTTCCTCTTTCTGCTTTCAGCTTTACTGTAAATCCGACCAAGTGTGCATCTGTCCTGAATGTGAGATCGAAGACCACAACGATCATGACACCGTCACTGTGGAGGCCGAGTGGATGGAAACTAAGGTAAGAAAATAAAAGCTTCTGCTGCTGTTTGGATCGACTTAAACTGACTGGAAAAGATGAACAGTCGTTGCTCAAGAAAGTGCAAGTGATGACAGACACCAGCAGTTTCCTTATGCTAAGTAAATTTCCATTTTAAAAGTTATCGTTTCATCGCTGCTCATAGCAACCAGTTTTACAGGATGAAGGGAGACACTTGTGCACTGCAAAAACACAAAATCTTACCAGTTGACATAAGACAAAATTAACTTAGAAGTAACTTTTTGGTAAAATATGGGAGCTTGTTTCCTTAATATTGATGAAAAAGTGCTAGTTGCAGATTATTTAACTTTTAACAAGACATTTTTCCCATATTAATGAAACAATATGAGTGAAACTAGTACTTTTATGTCAATATTAAGGAATGACTGGCTTAAAACAGTTCCTTTATTTTACCGAAAAGTTGCTTCTAAGTTTGTTTTGTCTTATTTCAAGTGTGCTAATATATTTGCACTAGACCAAAAATACTTGGTAAGATTTTGTGTTTTTGCAGTGTGCTAGGCTTTAAATCAGCTTCAGGACATCATGGAAACTGTTAGCTTGAATTTACAACCATAACAATTTCAGAAAAATTGGTGCCTATCAAAAGTAGGCACAAAGGAGCCAACAGAGGGAGTAAAGGTGATTCAAAAGTTTATAAAAACACTTTGAGGTTTGAGTTTTAAGAATCTCATTTTGGACTGTTATCTTCAGCCTTCAGGAACAATTACTCCTCATTTACACAGAGAGCTGGTGACTGAATATAAGACATGGACTGATCATATCCTTTAACACAGAACTGCCCCTTTAACGCTTCTGTCTTGTGATTTATAATCCAATCATCCGTTTTACTGTTTAAGAACTTGTGCTTTAGTGGGCAAAAAGCATGTCAGCCATGTTTCTTTCTTTGTCCAAGTTTGTTTAGATAAAAACTCGTAATTAATGTGATTTTCCTAAACACCAATATTTTTAATGACTAAATAAGATACATTTTCTTTAGTTACTGCTACACATATAGTTTTAGAATAGAAAACTCACAAGGAGTATTCCTTAAAATATTCTGATAAGAAAGAGGGCACACCTCCACAAACTGCTTATGTCCTCATTTGTCATCGTTCCTTTTATGCAAACGGATACAGTAAGCTACTTTACAAGTTGCCATGTAATGCTACCTTGCAGATATTCAGGTTCGATGCTGTTAAAACCTGCTAGAACCTAAATAATCATTTTTAGTCAGACCTGTGAAGATGTTTCAGTAATCGATGCGACTAAAGATAAACAGATGAGTTTCTCTAGATCTTACTTAATCTTGGAAATGTTCTTCAGGTGATAGAAGGCCGACTTTGTAACCGTCTGTATGTGGCTCTGAAGGTTCAGGTCAGAGTCCACCTCTAGTTTCCAGCTGTAATAACTGAAGCTGTACATCGACTCGAGATCGTTCCTCCTTTGGTCCAGAGATAATAACTAATAAATCAGTGTGTGGATTAGTTCAGTCACCTGGTGGCATCATAATGTAGAGCTGTGTGTCATCTGTGTAGTTTTGATAGCTAATTTTATATTTGTTATAATCTGAGCTACTGGGAGCATTTAGGAATGTAACTCATCAAAGCACATCACTATTATACACTTTTATTAATAATGCAAAGCCTCAGTTAGTAGGATGAGATGCAAAATCTGAAATTAACTTTAAAAATAACTAATATAGGAGAAATCGGTGCCACAATGTTAGAAGAAGTTGTAGTGGGTGTAATTAATGTCTGGGTGTTTTTACAGATGCTGCTGAGGGACTCAGAGCAGGACATCCAGGACATGATCAGCGAGAGGAGGAGGAAGATGGAGCAGATCAGGGAGTCTGTGACGGAGCTGGAGGTAAAACAACGTTACACCAACACAACCTGCACAGATTAAGGTCAAAATTACATATTTTTAAACTATTCTAGCTATTTTAAATGATACAAAAAGCTATGTTACCTCTTTAAAAAAAACATGGTCTCATAAGTTTTCTAAATATTTTTATACCTTTTCCACTTCTCCCCACAAAAATCACCAACTACACTTCTCTTTTCTAGTTTCTCAAATTCTGCCTTTCTCTTTGATTTGCTGTTAAATTTTGTGAACTGGTTTAAACAATTAAAGATGTTTCTGCTTTTATTTTTTACTTGTTCAAGACATATTTTGACACATCTCGTAATATGCATCTATAATAGCATACATTTAATTTAGTAAATTAATTCCTACTAATTATCTTTCTTTGGGTTTGTCCTGTTTGTGAATTTTAAATATATAATTATGCTTTTTTAAAGTCAAATTGAAAAGTCATGTAAAACTCTGACTAAGTTTTACCATAATCTTCAGTTTCTAAGTCTTTTCCTAAATTACTTCCAACCTCCTCAGATGGCGGTGGAGCGGGAGACGTCGGGCACCGTGTGCCTCTTCTCGGCGCTGGCCTCCGCCATCGAGCGGTCCCAGGCGGAGCTGATAGAGGTGATGGATAACAGCCGCAGGTCCGCGGAGCATCAGGCCGACGCCATGATCCATCAGCTGGAGAAGGAGATCGAGGAACTCCAGAGGAGAGAAGCTGCTCTCGCTGAACTCGCCCAGTCAGAGGATCACGTCCACTGCGTCAAGGTGGGTCACAACTTAAGGTTGATTTCATTAGGAAACTCTGGATGTTTCTGTATTAATTGGTAAATGTTCCCCAGACTTTCCCCAGCCTGTCCACGCCTCCAGTCACCAAAAACTGGACCGGAGTGTCGCTGAATACCGACCTGGGAACGGCCGCCATCTACAGATCTTTGGCAGCTACAGTGGAAAAGTTCCAGCGAGATCTAAGGAATATTCTAGAACATGGTTAGTAAACGAAAACATAAGAGACCAGATATTTGTTAGTTTTATAACTGTACACTAAAATATGAGCACAACTTTTTTTTTGGTCCAAAAGAGATTAACTTCTTCTATGGTAATAAAGAGCAGTTTTTGTTAACGTGTTCAGTGAGTACCATTAATCATGAAACACTGCCCTCTAGTGGCCTGATTATTTATTTCAAAGATTAGGTTAACATGAAGCTTCGTCTCTTTTATTCCCTTAAAAAATCAGTATGTTGTTGTTGCGCACAGATTAAATTGTGAAACTGTTGTAAAATAATTTTAATGAATTAAACTTTAGTTTTATTGTTCCAGCTCCTGAAGCTCTTTGTTGTTTTTCTTCAGGTTTTCCGTCTCCGATATTGGAAGCCAGTCTGGCACAAACAAAGCCCAGTGAGTTCTTACTCTAAATTTAAACAAACAGGATCACAACACTTCATTTCATCAGATAAATAATGTTTTCCTAACTAAAAACTTCACAATTTATGGCAGTTTGTAACACGTAAATGTTTGTTTGTTTCTCCTGCAGGAGAAAGGAAGATGCAGGATTTTGCATGTATGTTACATTAAATTCATAACATCTACATTTCCTTGTTTGCTATATATTTTAGCTAAATAAAAATAGTTTTAAGAAATTTGGAGGATTTAGCTAAATCTCTTTCTAAATGTTTTAGATCAACTAAAAGTTTCACACCCATTTGTTATAATTAATGCTTCAGTAATATGGATGTTGATAATGGGAATATTGCTAAAAGTACTATAAAAACAACTGGAAATGTTACTTTTAACGCCATTTTTAATATTATTTCCTCAGTGTAAGCGACACTGTTCCAATCATTGCTACAAACTAGCTTATCGTAAAATGAGATAAAGCTGTTAACATGGTAATCTTGGCAAACCTAAAACATTTTTCTGACCATAAAAAAACAAAAAATCTTTTCCCTCATCACTTTCTTTTTGAGGTGTAAAGAACAACTTTTCAAGTCTGTCAGAAAAAGCTTGTTAGCTTAGCTTAGCACAAAAGTAGCATTAGGAGAAATACAGCTAGCCAGGCTGTGCTGGCATATTAAAAATATGTATGCCAAAACACGTGGCTAGCAAATTTTCTTTTCCAACATTATTTTCTGTCCATTCCAGATTTTATATTGGGCCAAGTTTTCAGATAATTTCTTGAAAAAACAAAAGGTTAGCCTAGCTTAACCTGAGAATTAGCAGTTTGGTAACTACCAGTTAGTCAACTGGAAAACCAGTGTAAAGATTTATTAATTAAAAATATGTTTTTGAGAGCCAACGCCTAAAGAAAACTGTTATAACCAAGCTAAACCTAGTCTAATGACAAGTATCATAAAATCGTACAATTAAATGCATTCCTTCCTAAGAGCCAAAATTGAAATGCAGACTTTACCAAAGACATTTCAATAACTTTTCACATCATCTAGCATAACAATGGCATAAATTAGCATGATTGTTAGCAATTAATTTTCATTTAATCTTTTTTCAACACAGTGAACGTCACCCTGGACTCCAATACTGCCCATCCCAGACTGGTCCTGTCAGAAGACTTGAAAAGTGTGAGCTTCCCGTTTAGTGGTTACAACACTTAATCACTAAGGCGTGTTTTATTAGATTTTAGAAAATCTGGCTAATAATCCATTTTTCTGCAGGTTTGGTGTGGAGATCGACACCACCACGTTCCAGATACTCCAGAGAGGTTCGACAGAGTCGTCTGTGTCCTGGGAAGAGAAGCAATCTCCCATGGAAAACATTACTGGGAGGTAATAGGCTGTTCAAGCAAAACAGAAATTACAATTTCTAGTGAAATTGACAAGCATGCACCCTCCAGAATAATACATGTTGCTTTCCAGAACTTATCTGGAAAATGAAGATCACTTCCAGGAACTTACAGGTTACTTTCCATAACATACAGGCAACATGATTTATGTTACATTCATTGAATTTACAGGTTAATCTCAGTTTAACGGTTACTTACAGCTTACTGACTCTTCAGGGTTACTTTATAAAAACTAAATGGGAAAAACATCTTACTTTCTGTAAACTAAAATAAAAAGTTATTCAACAGGTCGTTGCTAGGTAACCAAAGAATGAGCGAGTTGCTAGGTAACCAAAGAATGAGTGAGTTGCTAGGTAACCAAAGAATGAGCGAGTTGCTAGGTAACCAAAGAGAGAGAGAGAGTTGGTGAATTCCACCACCTAGCTTAGCTAGCCGTGAGAGCGGTTAAAACCTTTCCTCTACTTATCTCCCAGAATGCTGTGCGGTTCTGGCTCAGAGTGTGTTATCCATCATGTGTCTGTCATGTTATATATTGTTACTGGTTTATTGTCCAGCTGTATTTGTGACAGTATAACATTCGGGACTAGATGTAAACTGTCAACATTACTGGTTGGATAGTTTTGTTCCAAGCTGCAGTGTTTCAGGATTCGCTGTTTGACGGGGAACATGCTGTGCTTCCTGTGAACAGGTGGAGGTGAACGGGAAAACGGACTGGGATCTGGGCGTGGCCAGACAGTCCGTCAACAGGAAGGGGAAGATCGATTACACCCCAAACAACGGCTTCTGGTTCCTCAGCCTAAGAGACAAGTGAGTTCAATTTGATAAAACATTTTAAAAGACAGATGAAAAACAAGCTTAAAGGTTGATTTTTTTCCAAAGATACTTTTAATCTAATGAAAGAACCAAACTGCATAGTTTCATTTTATGAGTATTTTCAATAAATATTGCAACAATAAAGCTGTTTGCTCAATCGCTTCAACGTCCTGATACTAATAATAAAATAACTTTATTCTGGTAACGTTATGACTTTATTCTCATTATTATGACTTTTTTCTTGTATTATAATGGGACCTTTTTCATGTTAAAACCCTTTAACTGTGTCCATTCTTCCCTCCATGGCTCTGTAGGCAGGCAGTCATAAGAAAATATAATTGTTTTCTTCTTCTCCCTCAGACACAAATACGCCTTTCGCTCTGAGCCGTGCACAGACGTGGAGATGAACCTCCGACCTCATAAGATTGGAATATTTGTGGACTATGAGAAAGGAGAGGTGAAAACGATACAAAACCATTTTTAACATCAATCTACCGACTAACGGTTGGATACGCTGTTTTACTGTGAAGTTAGATAACTGTCCTTTTTCTTTTCTTCTTCCCACAGGTATCTTTTTACAACGTCGATGCCAAAGTCCACATCTACACTTTCCATGACATCTTCACCGAAAACCTCTTCCCCTTCTTCAGCCCCTGCACCAACAAATCAGGAAAAAACGAAATGCCGCTGATCATCACTCCAGTACACATGGAGTAAAAGCCAACGTGTTTTTAAAGTTCCTCAGATACTTCAGAATGAGTTTTGTTTCTGTTTTTACAGCTTTTTCCACCTTTATGAGTAGAAATCTAACACATAATTAGAGTTAATTATGAGTTACATCATTAACTCATACTGTAGTTGGAATCCCAGGACTGAACCTGATTTACAGTTTCTGTTTTTCTTTGTTGCTGATGCTTCTAAAAACAAGCTAGCCTCACCTGAGAGGCTCAGAAAGTGGAAAAGGACAATAATTTCTGACTTTATTTGGTTTTCATCTCTTGAACCATATTTTAACAATTCCATTTACAAAATGTACGTTATTCATGTAAAATACCTTTAAATATTTACAGCAGAGGAAAAACAGTGTGGCTGCATTTTTCACAATATTTAGTATCATAGTTTTGGTTTAAATGCCATATTCAGTTACATTGAAAGGAGAATTTAGATGCTTTTGAAGTGGGGTTCTGTCGAGAGGTTATTAGCAGCTAACAACTTACCTGCAGTCGATAACTATAGTAGCATCTTTATTTTCCATGACAAGAGTTTAGAGGCTAAAGCTAACTGCTAGTCTGTGCTGAGCAAAGGGAAAACTGGATGTATTCTGAAATGACTCCAATAAAAAAAAAAGGTGTTACTTTGTATTAAATGGTTACCTGGCAGTGGTTGGAACCTTCTGCTAATGTGCTAATAGTGGAGCTAACTTTTTGTTTAGCACTTTTAGCATTTTTGTTAACTTTAAATATGTTTAGCGCTCCCAGTTTCCTCTAAATTAATTTTTCTGTATAAAAGCTAAAGCGTTAATTTACTTGATAACTTCTAGCATGTGAAACTGAGCTCAGGAGTTTCCACTGGTTTTAGCCTGTTTTTTATTTTCCTGCTGTGTTATATATTATGAGTTCATTAATAAATAAATAACAGTACTGAAGACATGTTTTGCTGTGATTGAATCTTATTTACTGTGAAACCACTAAGTTTTTACATCCACTTTGAAAAATATAAATGTGCACAAAATCCAACTTTTATCTGTCGCTTTAGGATTTTATCTGAAGCATCCAGTAAGACACTAAATGCTACAATAAAGCGATTTGTTTGAGATTGTTTTATGGTCTTGTATAAAACAGTATGAACTGTTTGGCTGGAAATAAAATTTAGCCTTAATACTTTTGCCAGTATCTTTGAACTGGAGAGACACACAGTGGTTAAAACACAGACTAGACCTTCATGACGTTTCTACAAAGGCCGGTCCGTTTAGAAACAGTCAGGACTTAAACGCCTCCCACAGGTGAGCCTGTAATGACAAACTGTCTCCGCCCCGCAGCACCTCCCTTTATCTCTTCATCAAACTCTTTCACTTTTCATTTTGCCGTGAAGCAGAAAGATTTAAGGTAAGATAACAGCCTCTTTGATGCTGAACTTCTCTTTTACAGGTTTATTCTTGTAGTTATCTTTACTTGTATTATACATTAAACCAAACGGGGACCTAAAGTCAGCTCTGATTCTGTAAAGGTCATTTATTCAGAATAAAAACAGTCGTACAGACAGGTGAGAGAGAGAAACCAGTTGGTGCATTTAAAGAGAAAATACATGTCGCAACTTGATTTACAGTTTCCAACTATTCCCTGTGTCTTCAAATCTATTTCTTTATTCTTATTTGTAGTGTAATTAGATAATATTTCCTCATTACAAAAGTGTAATAATGTTATTTCAATCTTCTGTAGTCGGGTAATTAGGTCCTAGTAGTGAAATCACTGCGACTGTCAGTAGTTTTAATGTTTCTTATTCTTTCCACAAATTTATTTGATATTTTGAGGCATAAACAAAACAAAAACATAGAAACAGGGAACGTGACCCCACCTTTCTTAAAGGCCCAGAAATCATTGTAAACAGAGACTAGCCTTGAGTTGCTCCCAGATGTTGAAGTGACTGTTTATTGTTCTGGGACACGGCATCAGGTTGACATTCAGAGAAAATTACCGACTGACTGGTTGTTGTTTGGCCAGTCAGTCCTGTTTATTAGGTGGAGCTCAGGCTTACTTTGACTAAAGAAACCTGAAACTTCTGTTAATTATAAGTTATTAACCATAATTATCAACAGTTTGAAGAGCATGCACACAGATATAAAAGATAAAACTTAAAATCAGGCATACATGACATTTCTTTTAAATATTTATTAGGAATATTCTTCCTTTTTGCCAGTTCTCTTCCTGCTTCTTTGTTTGTTGATTTTCCTGTCAAATGTTTGTCAGCTGATCATTTTATTGAACAAACAATGTGAAGAAAACAATATTTGTTGAGCAGGTGAGTGATTTGTTTATCCTCTGCAGATTAATTTTAACATTGTGTGCAGATTGATGTGGATCTGAACTCGGCATCATGGATCAGGAGCTGAAAGAAGGAGAAACTCTGCCTGAAGCTGAGAACCAGAGCAAAGCCAAGAGGTGAGACAGATGGCCTCCTTTTACTGTTTTTGTTTTCATTCAGTCCATAAAAAGGTTCCAGACTCAACCAACTTTACTTACAGCAAACAGTGTGAAGATGAACCGGATCTAGAGCTCTGTGAGAGCAGGTCCATGAGAGATGTTATTGATTTTAAATCAAATAAGCCTTCAAAGAGGTGAGCTATAAATCTGTCTAAGCATCTTAACATATACAGCATTTCACCTTTATGACAACATTTTACTCTCAGAAGAAAAAACATGTTTTTATAGTATTTTGTCAGACAGGATCTGATTCTGCTTTAGAGATTTAATAATTTAACAGGTCAGTAAAACAGAACCAGAAAATGTTGTTAACCACAGTTAATTTATTATTTAATTATTAACCTTACAAAATCCTGATTTGAGAAGTGCTTTATATATATTCATGTTTGTCTGATATTGAAACTTTTTTGATTTAAGTTGGATACGAACAGCAAAAGCAGGAAGAAATGCCATGAATTTGTTATATGCACATGTAAAGAGGTGTTCCAGAACCTCAGCCTTAAAAAATAACAGCAAAAAAACATATTTATATTTCATAGGAGCTGTCGGTCTTCTGCTTAAGCTGAAATGGTTCCAACCTAATAAGGTGTTTCCATATCGGCGAGGACAAAAAGCTCACAAACAAAAGCAAAAAGCCTCACCAAGCATTTTTAAATCAGTGTTTAAAGATCTCTCTTTCTGTCTGATTGTTTACATGACAGTCCTCAGCATCCATTTTCCAGCTTTTCATCTGGACATCAGTCAGAAACAGACCAGCCTCCATCTCCTGATGAGTGAGTTGTTTGTATATGTTTTGTTTTTGTGTATAACTATGTTAACCACCTCAGCTACATGTCAGCTGAATCCCAGATGGCATCATGTTTTCACCAGCATCCAACTAGCCTTATTTATTTATTGTTAACATCCAGGTTACTTTAAATAGATTTTCCATTATGTCTTTATTTGTGTCTAAAGGCAGCAGTTCCTATTGTCACAGAACTCTGTTTTCACATATTTCCTTTTTGCAGACACACCTAACAGTTGGAATGTTTTTTTGTATCCTGGCAAAGACTCATCCTACAAACATGAGAAATATTTTAGATGCTAGAGTTTTACTCATGTCCTGAATGGGTTTCACTTTGAGATTCACCTTAGATTTGAACTTTTCAGCAGATTGTGGTTGATCTTCACCATAAGATGATGGTCTATGAGATGAAAGTGAGAAAAATAAGGAGAGCAAAGGTGGAGCAGAGGGATAGGTGATGAAAAATGAAAACAGAAACTGGTTGACAGGGTGGAGTTAAGACAAGTTAGTTGTCAAGAGATACTTAAAGCTACAGCTAAAATAGTCTGGAAGCAGTGAAGTAGAAAACAAGATGGTGGTGGAATGAAAAGTTCAGGAACATATGGAAATAAAGAAGTTAGAAAATAAGAAATGGGAGGAAGACACAGGAGTATCAGGAGATACAACAAATAGCAAAGGTAGTGGTAACAAAAGCCAAACAAAGGACCAATAATGATCTATGGTAGGTTGGACAATAAGGAGGGAAATAATGATTTGTACAGGTTGATCAGGTAGAGAGACAGAGACTGAAAGGATGAGCAGCAGGTTAGCATTTCTAAGGGTTGGGATGGAAATGTACCAAGAGTGATGGGAAGATGGAGTATTTGTAGAAGAAGGTGTTCTGGTCAGATGAGGTCAGAGCTTTTCTCTATTTTATGGTCAAAACAAATGTAGAACAAAGTATAAGACTAATCTGTTGAAGTTCACTAGTATTCTATGCAATACTTTGATACTTAGGATTAATTTTATTATCTGTCCAGATCTACAAATAACTTTTGTTTATTTTTGCCTGTTTTGCATGGAGAGCTGGAATGTGGTAAAAGTCTTTATGATTCCTCCACAGAGTGAAGATCTCAGAGCCCCCTAGTGGTCAGAATACCCAACAGCATCAAACATCACTGGGCTCCACATTTATGGTCTGTATACTTACATCTACTGCTTTCTGTCTGTTGTGTTCATATGATCATGTCTATGCTACAAATTGTGAGCTAGTGGATTGTCAGTCTGACTTATGGCCCTTTTCCAAAAGCAGCAGTGCAGTGTGAATCAACTCAGTTCTGCTCTACACAGTGCAGGTGGTTTTCTGTTACCACTGAATAACAGCTCTAGTAGTCAATGTCAGTGTCAGCACAAGGTGAACTGTATCTGACCCAAACACGACCTGGAAGCCATGTTGGAAATTCTGCTCAGTCTTTTTGTCAGACTCAGTGACTGTTGTGAGTTTTTGCAAATGGTGGATTGGATTATTGTAAAGGAGAGGCTCTTGTAATGTGGCCCCTGACTCCACTCTCTAACCAATCAGAGACCATCAGACTTCTGTCATATTTTTCTGGCACCACAAAACGATTACTAGAGGGAAACCCTAGCGATCAGTAGATCAAGCAGAAAACAGCCATAAAGTCTCTCCCATGTTTTATAGAAGAAACCTATCTCTTCCATAAAACCGTTTGAATCCAAACAGTCAGCACATGGTCACGTGGTCGTGAGACGTTCATATTCATACAAACCTTTCATACAGTGCAGAGTACCTATGGGAGCCCCGTCCCATTTCAGTATACATCACTCCCCTATCCAATGGGGTTCCCATTCTTTCCCCCCATTCTCTGTTTTGCTTTTATAAAATGGTCATGGAGTTAGAGCCACACTTTTCTTCTGTTTGATACCTTTACAAGGTATTAAAAGGTTTTTATTGCATCGAAGCATGTGGGTGTGGGCCAGCTTCAAAATCTGACCATTCACTAGGGTGGAATAACTTCCTTATATGTCACAGGTGCAGAAAACTTTATGTGTGTCATAACAGATCACCACTGATCACAACACAAGATCAATTAGTGACATCATCTGAGCCCCACCCTCTTTGGACAGGAAGTCGGCTGTTTTCCTGATAGTTGACTTCCTTTTACTTTATGATTCATACAAGTTTAAACCTGTTTCTGATGACATTTTTTTTTACTGAAAAACATATATAGTATCCACTTTTTACCTGAGTGAAGTTGCCCCCCACCTTCTTCAAATCAAAATTGGTGTCAAACGTTTGTGCAGTAAACATTTTCGTTTGTGACCCTATCATTTTAATGATAAAGAGAAATGTTTCAAGAGGTCATGAAAGGTCAACCAACCTTCTTCAAGTCAGACAAAATGGGTGTCTGATTTGATGTCTTCAAAGCCAACGCTGCACAAATGAACATTTTTCTTTCACAACAAGCACCAACTTAGCCGAGCTGAGTTGGTGCAAATAAATAAATAAACTTAAATGTGAGCAGGGCAGGGGAGTGGCTGACCTCTGATGACCCCTGGAGAACATTTTTCTTAATATCTTTAGAATGATAGCAGCACAAACTAAAAATGTTTGCTGCGCAAACCAGCACAAATGTAGCACAAACTTTTGACACTAATTTTGTTTGATTTAATAAAAGTGGGGGCTGGTTGACCTTTAACCTTTCATTAATATTTTCAAAGCCAAAGTGGCACATAGGAAAATTTTTGCTGCACAAATGTAGACCGACACCCATTTTGTCTGATTTGAAGAAGGTCGGGAGTGCGGGGGGAACTTCACTCAGGTCCACCACCTTAATGATTTCAGTCTAAATTATTTTTTTTTTCTGTTTTAGGAGCTTAAAAAGAACATTTTCACTTTTGCGGAGAATGAGCTGGAGAAGTTCCAAATGGTTCTGGGTTCAGATTCCCCACAATGTCTAGAGTGGAATGAGGATGATGAAGTTTTAGAGGGTGAAGATAAAGAGCAAATGAAGTGGAGCAGAAAAGCTTTTGAGAAGATCATACAACACTTCCTATGGAGGATGAACAAGGCTGAGAGTCTTCAAGCCAGTAAGACGATTTCTCTAGAGAGTTGATATGCTGGAAGATTGATAAGTACATTTTTTTTTCAATTTATTCCTTATGTTAGAGTTAGTTTGGTTTTCATGGAGGGCATTAAGGATATTTAGCCAATAGGTATAGATCGTGTCTAGGCCAAGAACAGTCCAATTCTTAAAACCTAAAACCTACAAATTTGAGTCTTCGTCTTCAATGTTATATGTGTGATGCCTCCTTCTCCCATATGCTTCTTCAGCATTGTTGAAGAAGCATATGAGGTTCCATTTTAGGTGTGTCTAATCTCATTTTAGTACCACAGAGAGGAGTCTTAATGGAGGTCTTGTTTGTTCTTCTGGCCCCTCCTGGTCCAGAGTAGCTTTGGATGTATCTTCCTTGATTGCATGTCTGGTGCTGTCACTGCGGACTTATTTCTGAAATAAGAGATTGTTTCTGAATCACCTAATAAAAGGTATACAGATTCACATGGTTCACAACTGAAGGATACTTACTTGAAGATTAGTTAAAGGAAAACCAAACAATTGTACAATGATATTGGTGAAGTCACATTACCTTATTTTGTCTATTGGTCAGACAAAAGAAGGCAAGCCCTCATTAGAGGGAAACTGCTTCCCAAAGCTCACCTCTGGATAACCACATGACCTGCAGCAACCAGTTGAATCCCTCCACAAGAGCTACTGCAACCCCAAGATTTATTTCCATCCAGTGTTCATCCGCCTCTCTTCTGATTTACCTATCATTCTGGAAGAGAGTAAATTTAGACACATAAGCCAAATTGACCTTCTTATCTCACCATAGAGTCCTAAATTTATGCTGCCTTACAAGTTAAAGCTGTTTTCTCCAGTTAGGCTCATTGATTAAAGGTTTTCTTATGGCTACACAACTGTTCAGTACCTTTGAGTTCCCATCACATTGTGAAAATACTTGTTCTTAGACCTGATTTCTACTGATCTTTTCCTTTGATTTGATTTAACTTTTTAACTTTTAAGTGGAAAATAATGGAAGGTTTTGTTTCCTTCCATTTTTAAAATAATGTGTTAGACAGTTTTAACCCAACTTTAGTAATCTCTAGATCTCCTTAGATGTTTGCTATGTTTGATGCCAATGATTTTACCCTTCTAAAACAGACAAACATCTTTTCCACAACAATAGGAGCTGTCTTTACACATGGTTGATTAAAAAATGAGAAGCTACTCATTGCATCAGTTGGAAGACAGTTGGATATGGAGTAACCATCCAGTAGGATGATCATATTTTCTCAATCATAATCATATTTTTCTCTTATGGCCAGACATGAGGATTTAAATAATTGGTTTTAAATGTTTTGTTTCATGGCTTATAAAAAAACAAATTTCTGCAGAAACATTTGTGTAACCTCTACCTATGCAGGAATATTTTCAAAATGAAATGTAAAACAAGTAAAAAAAAATCATTTTAATTATTTTACTTTGTTTGCATTCTTTAAGGATCCCTCACCATATGCCAACGAACAATAAAGTTTTGCATGAAGACGAGGTTCAAACAAGTGTTTGAAGGGATTGGTAAATCAGAAAAGCACACGGTTCTGAATAGGATCTACACAGAGCTCTGCATCACAGAGGGAAACTCTGGAGAGGTCAATGGTGAACATGAGGTCAGACAGATTGAATCAGTGTCCTGGGAACCAGACAGACCAGAAACGACAATTAGACATGAAGACATATTTAAACTGTTACATGGAAGAGATGAACCAATCAGAACAGTGATGACAAAGGGAGTGGCTGGCATTGGGAAAACAGTCCTGACTCAGAAATTCACTCTGGACTGGGCTGAAGACAAAGCTAACCAGGTCATCCAGTTCGTATTTCCATTCATGTTCAGAGAACTGAATCTGCTTAAAGACCAGCAGTTCAGCTTGGTGGAGCTTGTTCACCACTTTTTTAATGAAACCAAAGGAATCTCCAGGTTTGAAGAGTTAAAGGTTGTGTTCATCTTTGATGGCTTGGATGAGAGTCGACTTCCACTGGACTTCCACAACAATGAGATCCTGACAGATGTAACAAAGTCCACCTCAGTGGATGTTCTTCTGACAAACCTCATCAGAGGGAACCTGCTTCCCAAAGCTCACCTCTGGATAACCACAAGACCTGCAGCAGCCAATCGGATCCCTGCTGAGTTTGTTGGCATGATGACAGAGATCAGAGGATTCACTGACATAAAGAAAGATGAGTACTTCACTAAAAAGTTTAGATATAAGGAGGAGGCCAGATTAGTAATCTCCCACATAAAGAAATCCAGAAGCCTCCACATCATGTGCCACATCCCAATCTTCTGCTGGATCACTGCTACAGTTGTGGAAGACATGTTGAACAAGGAAGATAGAGAAGATCTGCCAAAAACCCTGACTGAGATGTACATCCACTTCCTGGTGGTTCAGACCAAACTGAAGGTCATCAAGTACGATGGAGGAACTGAGACAGATTCAATCTGGAGTCCAGAGAGCCAGAAGATGATTGAGTCTCTGGGAAAACTGGCTTTTGAGCAGCTGATGAAAAGAAACCTGATATTCTATGAATCAGACCTGGCAGAGTGTGGCATCGATATCGAAGCAGCTTCAGTGTGTTCAGGAGTTTTCACAGAGATCTTCAGAGAAGAGAGAGGGCTGTACCAGGACAACAAGGTGTTCTGCTTCGTCCACCTGAGTGTTCAGGAGTTTCTGGCTGCTCTTCATGTTCATCTGACCTTCATCAACTCTGGAGTCAATCTGCTGGCAAAAGGTGAAACAAAATCAAAGGATTTAGAAACAAGAAGCCATGGATCCTCAGAGACAGACATCTACAAGAGTGCTGTGGACATGGCCCTAGAGAGTCCAGATGGACACCTGGACTTGTTCCTCCGCTTCCTACTTGGTCTTTCACTGGAGACCAATAAGCGTCACTTAGGAGGCCTTTTGACACAGACAGAAGAAAGTTTGACAACTAATAAAGACACAGCCCAGTACATCAAGGAGAAGATAAATAATGATCTAGATGCTGAGAAAAGCATCAATCTGTTCCACTGCCTGAATGAACTAAATGATCAGTCTCTGGTGGAGGAAATCCAACAATCTCTACAAACAGGAAGTCTTTCAGCTCACCAGCTGTCTCATGCTCAGTGGTCAGCTCTGCTCTTCATGCTACTTTCATCAGAGAAAGACCTTGAGATGTTTGAACTGAAGAAATACTCTGCTACAGAGGAAGCTCTACTGAAGCTGGTGCCAGTCATCAAAGCCTCCAGGAAAGCTGTGTAAGTACAGATCAATTAAATCAAATCAGTTTTTTCTACTTCATTGAAAAACCAGTGTTTCCCAACCCTGGTCCTCAAGGCACACTGGCCTGCATGTTTTAGGTATTTTCTTGCTTCAGCCCAGCTGATTTCAATCGATGACTGATTAACAGGCGTTTCCTAACTGCAATCAGTTGAATCAGGCACATAAATCAAGGAAACCTCTAAAACGTGTAGGACAGTGTGCCTTGAGGACCAGGGTTGGGAAACACTGGTATAAACTAGTGAACAGCAGAATAATGAAGCATTTCTCTGGGAATTATGTGAAAAACCATGTGAGAAAGCAGCATAGATACAATGACAGAAAGTTGCTTTTACATGTTTTTACTGTTGTGCTTTATTACTTTGAGACACTTATGTGTATGAAATGTGCTTACTACACAACCTAATGTGTAGGTTGTAATGTTGCTTACTACACAACCTACTACTTTTGTAGTAAGCAACCCACTTACTACACAAGTGTTTTTTTTTTATTTGCACAACTTTGTGCTCCTTATTTGGAATATTTCAAGATCAGGACCATGTTGCTTCAGCCCAGAGGCCATCTGTCTGTAACCAGACCCTAAGACTTAGTCCATCAGGAAGCACACAGAGACTCCAACACAATGGCAGTAATAATAAACCAGTAATGGCATATTATGTCAGTGTCACACTATGTCTTAATCTTTTGCCCTTTCTGCTGTAAATTGCATAGCTGACCTAGATAGATAAAGAAACTGTTGTTTATGTCTGATGTGACTGTTTTATCTAGTGCTGTCTTGAAACTGAATTTGGTGCAGCAGCTGACTTTAAACACATAATAATAATAATAATAATAATAATAATAATAATAATAATAATAATAATAATAATAATAATAATAATAATAATAAATACTCCGTGTATTTATTTTGTCTCTTTAGACTCGGTGGATGTAACCTCTCAGAGAAAAGCTGTGGAGCTCTGTCCTCAGTTCTCGCCTCTCAGGATTCTTGCCTGAAGGAGCTGGACCTGAGCAACAACAACCTGAGCGATTCAGGAGTGAAGCTGCTCTGTGAGGGACTGAAGAGTCCAAACTGTGAACTCGAGATTCTGAGGTTAGTTCACATTTTAAAATCAGAGGAAGCAAGAGTGGCTGATAAAAGTGTTCATAAAATGTCTGTAAAATCCTCAGATTGTTTTAAAGCAGCAAAAGTCAGAATTTGTAACTTGGTGTTTTCATGGAGAAACTCAACTGTGTCATAAAAATATGTGGTGTTCTCTAGACCATGTTTGTTGAGGAGTTTAAGATTTTCTACACAGAAAATCTGGAAATCATATATTTAGTTGCCTGTCAGTTTTTTTTTTGTGGTATTTTAATATTATATTTTTTAGACTAACCCTCCTTCTTGCCAAGAGGTGAAAACATGCAGCAAACAGATGTAAATGCAAAGCAAACAACAACATGAGCTGCAAACACATGAATGATGCAAAACACAAAAACACAAAGACACAAATGCAACAGAACAGTGCTGCAAACAAAACATGCTGCAACCACAGTAAATAGAATCAAGGGAGAAAACTCTGCAAATAGTGAAATCAACAGCAAGTATGAAATGATTCAAACTCACTGCACAAAATGGAAGTGCTACTGCAGGCCACTAGGGGGAGTCAGTCAACAAATCTTATGGGACCAAATGCAGGATGTCAAGACTTACTGGGAGGTCAGGAAGGAAATAAGGTATGTTATGCTAGAAACATGCAACTTTTACATTAATATTGTACAGATGAATATTTATGTAGGTAATATTTTATTAACTCCAAACTGGTTTGCAGCTCTTCCATTTTGTGGAACAAGTTTCAGTTGTTCATATTTGCAGTTGTTTGTGCTGCTTGTGGCCATTTTCCTTTCACTTCTATTTCACATGGTTGCAGCATTTTGTTTGCAGTTTGCATTTGTTTTGCTAGTTTTAGGATTTTGCTTATACTTTCTATGATTACGACATTTTTTGTCTGTAGCACTGTCTTTAAACTTTTTAGGGTTTAAAAACTCTAACAGTTTTAAACTCATATTCAATAAAAAGAAAATACTGACACACAGAATATTTGTAATAAAAAGCTTGAAGCTAAACATTTGTCTGAAAAAAAGGATGATTGATGTTAAGGATGCTAAATATACAAATATCTTGGTATAAATGTGCTATTATATAACACCTGAGCTTTCCATATTCCTCCCATTTCTTCTCCACTGCTGCTTTAATCATGAGAAACTTCAAGCCACTCTGCAAATTGGCTGACTAAAAATAAGCAGGCAGGTCATCAGTCTTTTGCAGGGTATTATTAGTAAATGTTTTTGCATTGCGTTAGAAAAGGTTATGTTTGTTTTGTCTGCAGGCTTTCTGGCTGTCTGATCACAGAGGAAGGCTTTGCTGCTCTGGCCTCAGCTCTGATGCTGAATCCCAGCCACCTGAGAGAGCTGGACCTGAGCTACAATCATCCAGGAGAGGCAGGAGCTCAGCCTCTGTTAGCTGGACTGGAGGATGCAGCCTGGAAGCTGAAGACTCTGAAGTAGGAAAACCTCGACTGCAGCTACACAGTGCTTTACTGATAGATACTGGATACAGCCGTAATCAGCCAATGTGATAAATATACATTACTGGCATCATCGATTACATACCATGACACTTCCTTACTAAAGCATCCAGTCTACTAGCAATTTATTTCCATCATTAAACTAGTTAAAGCATCTTGTGATTCTTTTCTTCCACATTTTGCCAGGTTCCAACCAAATTTTAATTGATATTATGTGACACATCACGACAATTTAAACATCTAAATGTCTAACTGTAACTTGGTGATAATGATGGTATGAAAGCCAATAAATAAATAAAAAGCAAAATATGATTAAAAATACAAACCTTGACCACAATATTTCGGCATCCCTTCTCTTACATTATTACTGTATCCCATAGATGGATTGTTACAACTAAGCTGCATTGTGTTTTTCAGATCTGACTTCCTTTTTCCCACTCTTGCATAAAAACCACATTAACGACATAAAAAGTCACTGATGTGACTGATGTGAATCTCTTGCCTCTTCCAGGTTGGATCCTGCTGGAGTCCAGTGGTTAACACCAGGCCTGAGGAAGTGTAAGTGTGTTTTTCATGTGATTTATGACAAAGTGGCACATTAAATCATCTGCTGGTGTTCAGACCACCCATTTATTAGTCGTGATCAAGGCATTAAAATGATCAGTTTATTGATCAAGCTGTTTGTCTTGTTTAGATTCCTGTCCTCTCACAGTCGACCTGAACACCGTAAACAAACACCTAAAATTATCTGAAGACAACAGGAAGGTGACACCTGTGGAAGAGGAGCAGCCGTATCCTGATCATCCAGACAGATTTGATCTCTATCAGCTGCTGTGTACTGATGGTCTGACTGGTCGCTGTTACTGGGAGGTTGAATGGAGTGGGAAAGTCTATGTATCAGTGAGTTACAGAGGAATCCAAAGAAAAGGACAGACTGATGACTGCTGGTTTGGATTTAATAATAACTCCTGGTGTCTAATCTGTTCAGATGAGGGTTATGTTGTTTGGCACGACTGTAAAAAAGTTTTTAAGTGTTCATCCTCCTCCTCCTCTGCCTCTGACAGAGTGGCTGTGTATGTGGACTGTCCTGCTGGGACTCTGTCCTTCTACAGAGTCTCTTCAGAGACACTGATCCACATCTACACCTTCAACACCAAATTCACTGAAACTCTTTATCCTGGATTTGGGTTCAGGAGTCGTACTACCGAGTCCTGGTGCTCATCGTTCTTTCTAAGATAAAAGAAACCTGGCGTTCCACCCAAGATATATTTTTAGATTAACATAACATGTAAATAAAAGTATTTTCATAGCACCTTTTTAAAAATTACAAAGAGCTTCACAATAAACTAGTGTCTAATGTGAAATTAGGCATATTCTTCATGAATGCATGAAGAACACAGGATAAATAAATGAGATATTTATTGATTAAAACACAAACTGTCTTTTAAAAGAGAAAAAAGTCTGAAAGGAGAAAGATACAGAGAAGAAGTCAATGAACTAAAAGCTCTGTTTTCTTTTTGTCTTCATCTTAGTGAACCAGGCCCTGATCACAGGACCTCAAGGATTTTGTTTGGTGATCTTGAGTGATTTGAAAAGTGCTTTCAGATAAAATGTATTATTATTATGGACAAATGGGTGCAGATACCCTCTTGATATTATCTGGTCCCTGTCTATGAAGTTTTAAAAAGAATCTCAAGTTGCACTTTGAAGTAAATTGTAAGCTAATAAAGAAGATTGGAGTCACAGTTCAAAAAGTAAAGGATTTTTATCAGGACCCAGGCAGCAGCATTTTAAATAAAGGTTCCAACGAGGTTTTGCTAAGATCCACAGAGTGCTCTGGGTGATAAAAACAAAACCATGAATAGTTATTTCCATTTCAAGATGTGAGACAATAGAGATTAGTTCAGCAGATGCATCCAAAGTAAAACCAGAATCAAAGATCTTCCCAATATTCTTACCAGATCTCTTGATTCTTCGAGTGTCCTCTTAATCCTTGACATGTTTTTTTCCTTATATTCACCTTTCTTATCTAATTGTGTGAAAACTGGTTAAGAAGTATTTTTTCTCAGCTGCTGAAGCCAATATAATGTCCACCTGCATTGTTTACATGCTTGTTTGAATCGCACCATATTCTAATGTTACTGTAATAAAACTAGCCAGTTTTTCCTGTGATTAAACTAACAAGTTAGTGACATGAAGGGAGTAAAAGTACTTGACAATATTTTTCAGTACTGATATGTTATTATAAATGCAACATAAATCTTGTAATACTGAATGAAATGTAGATTTTTATGGTACTTTATATCTGCATTGCGTTATTTATCTATACTATGTTACAGTTTGTTTAGTGCAGGTTTGGGTCTCCCAGTTTTGTCTTCCATTTGTAAAATCACTTTTTTGGTTAGCTTTAATTGAGGAAAAAAATGTTTACTTACTTTGGTGAGAGGTAAATAAATAATCTCTGTTAATTTCTGAAATTAATATGATCACTTGAAAAGATTCCTTGTTGATGTTTACAGAGTGAGGCATTCTCTGTATTTGACAATAAAATACATTTAAATGACATTGGAGTTTGGATGTTTCCACATCCTCGTCTGGAGTCCCAGCTGTACCTGAATGCACCACGAACAGCTGCTGGGGAAACCAGTGGAGTTTCCTCCTACCTGCATTTACATGCAGCTGACTGGATGCTGATTTTTCTACCATTCCTGGTGGAACTGCATGTTTGCTGAGCTTGTTATCTGAAGTCCAGAGCTGAGACCCATCTGGGGAAAATACCAAAGACTGTGGAAGATCTCCTGTGTACCGGGGCCAAAGACCAAACATCCAAAGACCCTCAGCAGCTACAGGCTGGTAGAGCTGACCTTTGACCTGATGGAGACCCTGGAGAGGCTGGTCCAGATGATGGTACAAAGACGGACTTTAGATATAATCAAGATGATGAAAAACCCTGAGCATCGTCTTATTTAAACTGTAAAAAAAGAAAAAAAACCCTGCATGTCTTCAGTTGGGAGCTTCTTCAAATTTGATGCAACACAAATTGTTATACTACATCTTTCCTGCCATCACCATCAACAACTTTTGAAGAATCTTGAATTAATATTAGTTACAAGATTTAATTTCCTTTTTGGATAAATCAAATATATACCATATGTGCAATTTAATCAAATTGAATCAGGTTTAATTTTAAGGTTTTTGGAGGCTCTAATTCTAGATATCTACCATAAATTATTGACCATCTGAAACATATCTCTGATATCAATAATTAAATTATGACTATTTTAAGCTAAATTTGAGATATCTTGCTTTTTGTTCTGACTAATCTTAATTCTAATTAAATATGTCTTAAATTACATCATGATTCAAGAAGTCTTAAATGTGTTTTTAGATAAGGTGGCCTTTAGGACTCGACTTGTGCAAATTAAATTATAGATATTATGAAAGCAAATAATGTCAGGCTAAACTAACTTAAGGGATCTGAAAGTGTATTTTGGTTAAGCTAAAATTCCTCCTAAGGTATCTCCATCTTTTCTTTTCAGATATCTTGAATAATTATTCTGTCAAATCATCTATTGTTTATATAGCATTTTGAAATTTAATTGAAAAATAAAAAAAATTAATAAAGCATTTTGAAAAGGCACAATTTTCACCTTGAGAATAGGCAGGCAGGAGCATTTTTCATGCTTCTAAACTGTTTTTAAATGCATTCTGTGCACACAATGTTTTTAATCAAGCAAATTGGAAATTTTTTTGCAGATTTATGAAGCATTCTTTAAGTATGCAAAATTTGCATTTTCCACATGGCCCACATTACTGAGCTATTCTGTATTATGAAATCTAAAGAATTTGACTAGTCATATTTAAGCTCAAGATACCTTAAATTACAATTGTGTGAGCCTTCAAATGGTAAATCATGCCATTTAATATTTAAGGCCTTGCTTAGATACATAAAAATATAACTGAAGATCTTGAATTGTTATTTTTACAAGTCAGAATGTAAATGCACATATCCTAAATTACTATTAAGAATAATCAAAATGTAGTTCTTGTTAGATATCTGGGATGTAGAGTTAATCGGACGAAACCGATTATATAATAAAACGGCCTGCCATAAATTCCTAACAGGTGAATATACACCTGTCGTGTCGTTAAAAAAACAGACACTAAAGTTTCACTTTCACCTGTGTTTTTCTGTTGCGCAGATTATTTTCTATCAACCTCCAAGGTAAGATAATCTATTCGTTGCGGACGCAGCTGTATAAATAATCATTAATCTATCGTTGGATTGATTTATGATTTATGGTTTATTTCATGTTACGGCCTCAGCAGCAGCTGTTCAGTCAGGAGGAATAAATGAAAACGGGTCAAGAAGCCTCGTTCATTTCCGCCATTTTGTTTTATCCAAACAGAATTTACTCTCAGAACAATTTTTAGGTTTATTGATTCTCTGTGTTTAAACGTCAGTCGTTTTTATTGTTATTGCTGTTAAACTTGTAAATATATATTAATTATAAATTAATGCAGATTTACGTGCAGGATGAAGACGAGCCATTTTAACTTCTGGTCACTGAAAATACGTCGCTAAAGACAAGAACTGTTGAGAGCTAATCGTATTTAACACAATAATTCATTAATGGTCGATATAAGTATTTATGTGACCCTTACTAAAGTTGTGTTCTTCATGGTTGGTAAAATATTAAAATAATTTATGTTCCATTGTTATCAACGTTTCCGTCACACATTTAATGAATGGAAAACTATAAATACACCCACAATATTAAACTTTGTCCCTCAGATCAACTTTAACTCTTACAGTCTCCGGAGGATGTAGGTGATAAATTATTGCAACCAAATAATTTTTTGTTACTGCTCCAAAGATAAACGGCGCTAAATTAGTCTTAGTCCAACACTTAAAATTATGCAAAGGTTTCTATAAATCTTGAACTAAATTGCTGTGCTTTACAGCTGCTGCTCCTGTGGTAAAACAAAATGGTGGATTGAGAAAAATAATGACTTTTACAAAGAAGTGATCAATTTCTCCTTTGAAAAGTTTTTAAATACTAACTTGACTGTTGCTGGGTGTATCAAAAATTATGATTAACTGCAGATCTTTAAACACTTTGTTTTTAGGACTGAACATATCAGAGGAGGGTTAGTTACATTTACTCAGTTACATTTACT